TGGGGCCTGGGCGCTGTCCCTCAGCTCTTCAGCTCAAGGCTAGCGCTCTACCACTTGAGCCACAGCGCCACTTCCGGCTTTTTTCTTTTTGCTTATGTCGTACCGAGGAATCGAACCCAGGGCCTCAGGCATGAAAGACAAGTGCTCTACCACTGAGCTACCTTCCCAGGCCTGCACTACTTCTTGATTAATAAAATAAAGCAATATCTGGAAATATGTTGAACAAAAAGTATTTGAAGTTTTTTTTCATTGTTACTGTCATCCTAGTTATGATTATATGAATGGATATCCTTTAGAAAGTTGGAACAAACTGATTTTTTTTTTAATGAGAGGTAGAAGCTATGGATAGGCTATTGGAGATTTAAAATACTCTGAGCTGAGTAAAGTGATACTTGCATATAATTCTAGCACTCAGAAGGTATAGGCAGGATGATTATGAGCTCAAGGCTGGTCTGGGCTACATGTAGCAAGAACATCATTCTACAAAACAAAGACTAAATCCTGAGTTAAAAGAAAAAAGCTCTAATATTTGATGTTCTTACCTTGTCTTATATAATCTTTCTCAGATTTTTGTCAGTTGTAACCAAACGTCTCATCTTATTAATACTTCTTAGGTACTTTTGTTTTTATTTTCTAAACTTCAAAAGGGCATTACAATTTAACATGTCTACTTAAGTGTCCAGTGTGCTCCTTGATCAGTCACACCTTCCATCATTTCCTTCCATCCTATCTGTCCCTTCACTTCTCATTTTCTACTACCTTTATCACATGTGTACATTGATTATTCTGGCTATATTTGTCCCTGTAGTCAGTTTATAAATATAATGCATCTTGATCAGTGTCACCCCTTTCCAGCCTTCTCCCTCATCTCTCCTAACTTCACCTATCCTCTCACGTTACCAGATTCCATAGTTACATGTGTACATTGAATACAATAATGACTGTTCACCCATTTGTCTTCCCATCATTTTGTCAAGCCCCCTCACCCCCTAACAAAAAAGGTACACCTTGTTTCAAGGTGTATAATCAGTATATTGATTAGTGAGTATACAGTGGATTTTGAAAGGCTTTATATTAAATGAACTTACTTTTTATTTTATAAATTTGTAAGGTTTTTCATGTGGTTTTTAAAATGGCAATTTTGAATATTTGTTACTCTGAAGTATATGTTATAGATAAGGGTATGTATACTTATAACTCATGTCAACTTTTCTTTTTTTTTGGGTGGGGTGTCCAGTCATGGGGCCTGAACTCTGGGCCTGGGTGCTGTCCCTCAGCTCTTAAGCTCAAGGCTAGCGCTCTACCACTTGAGCCACAGCGCCACTTCTGGCTTTTTTTCTTTTTGCTTATGTGGTGCTGGGGAATTGAACCCAGGGCCTCATGCATGCAAGGCAAGCGCTCTACCACTGAGCCACCTTCCCAGCCCCTCAACTTTTCTTTTAAATGAAAGTTCTCAATTTCTGGCTGTATATACTTCCAAACTAGATAAAAGCTAAATGTATTCTGCAGACTTGGTATTCAAAATATCAAATACTTCAGTGAGTAAAATTATTATTTATTTCTTTTACCATTTTTTAAAATGTAATAATCCATGTCAGCAACTATGGAACTAAGTTTCACAATTTTGGTTCAGTTCTAGCCTAATTAATATATATCATAGTGTAGATGAAGCAGTCAGAGAACCTATTTCCTGTTGTTATAGAAACAAGTCTAAAAAACAATGAATTTGTTGATAATCAGGCTTATTGGGATTTTTTTTTCTTTTAAGCAACTATATCGGAAAAAACCTGGAATGACAATGTGTTGTGCCAAATTACCTCAGAACATTTCCAAAAATAGATATAGAGACATTTCACCTTGTAAGTATCTATCATCTCTGTTAAGTTTAATAACTTCATTGACATATCATTTCTGGTCTGGGGAATAACTACTTAATAGAGCTTCTTGCTTAGATGTGCAAGACTCTAATCACAAGCACCAAAACAAAAACCCATTGTTTCTTTTCAATTTTTTCAGATGATGCTACACGGGTTATTTTAAAAGGCAGTGAAGACTACATCAATGCAAACTATATAAATGTAAGTTTTAAAATTATGGTTTTATTTCAAATAATAAAGGACCACTATAAACTTTGAGATTAACCCCTTTTTATTGAAAGTCTAACTTTAATAGAAGATTAAAATTTTCAGATATTGGAAAACGTCAAAGTAATATTAAAGAAAATAATTGGTTGCAGATATTTTAATATACAGATAAAGTAGGAAATAGAACTGTCAGTCCAGAAATAGTTTCAAGTATTAATATTAGAATTTTGTTTATAGTAAAGGTAGCCTTTTAAATCACTGGACATAAACAGGCTACCTAATGAGTAGGTTGAGTCAATTCTCTAATATATATTCATTGCAAGGAGGGTTCCTTTGCCCCTAAGCGAAAAAAGGATCACTACTTTTTTATATAACTTAAAATTCCAAATGTGCAGAAGGACAAAAGTTAAATGGCCTGCATGTACACAGCACTCAGCTTCAGTAGTTGTCATGTTCGTCCTCACTTCCCGATTATTGTAATGTAAATTTATATATCATCTCATTAAGCTATACTTCTCCTATGTATTTGAGAATTTAATATTTCAGAAAAGAAGTTTTTATATTACCTATAAATAGCCAGGTACAGTGGCACCCAACACTTGGGAGTCTGCGGCAGGAGAATCGCTTGTTCTTGTTTTATTTTTTAGCAAAACCACAATGTCATTAAAACACAAAAATAATAAATATCAAACACAAAATACATTCAGTTTTTGTGCAAGTTCTGAGGCCTGGGCACTTTCCCTGAGCTTTACTCAAGGCTAAGACTCTGCCACTTAAGCCATAGTTCTATTTCCAGCTCTTTGGTGGCTAACTGGATATCATAATCTCATGGCTTTTCCTGCTCAGGCTGGCTTTGAACTATTATCCTCAGATCTCAGCTTCCTGAGTAACTAGGATTATAGGCATGAGCCACCTGTGTCTGGCAAAACTATTATTTAACTATGAGATTGAAAGACCAAAAGTGTGATAATACTTTATACAGGTCCATATCCTTTACCTGAAACTTTAGAATGAAATACACTTTAAGATTCAGATTTTTTGAACTTTTAGACTAACATCAATGGTTCACACCTGTAATTGTGGCTACTCAGGAGGTTGAGATCTGAGAATCATGGTTTGAAACTAGCCTGGGCAGGAAAGCCTGCAAGACTCTTGACTCCAATTACCTTCAAAAAAAAAAAGCTAGAAAGGGGCTGGGAATGTGGCTTAGTGTTAGAATGTTTGACTAGCATGCATGAGGCCCTGGGTTTGATTCCTCAGTACCAAATAAACAGAAAAGGCCAGAAGTGGCTCTTTGGCTCAAGTTGTAGAGTGCTAGCCTTGAACAAAAGAAGCTCAGGGACAGTGCCCAGGCCCTGAGTTCAAGCCTCAGGACTGGCAAAAAACAAAAAACAAAAGAAAAACGCTAGAAGTGGCACTATGGCTCATTGATAGAACACTAGCCTTGCACACAAAAACTCAAGAACAGTACCCAGGCCCTGAATTAAAGCTCCAGGATTGGCGCGTACACGCGCGCACACACACACACACACACACAGTTACTCATTGCATATAGCATAAATATAATATTGTACAAATAACATATCTAAGAGATTATGAGAGAAGTGTCTTGTAATCATTTGCAAACTATGGATTTTCCAACTAAGTGGGACTAATAGAGTAAAAGTATTTGTTCAGAAGAGATCAGATTTTGTTATCAAGTACATTTCAGAGGATTGAGAGTTTTACAGTTTGGGATAAAAGATTATATATTAATGAGTATAAAGGCGAATGCATTCATCATACATTATTGGTGAAAGTATGAATTGGTAGAATCTCTTGAGAAAGCAATTTGCCACTGCCAGAAATTTAAACACACATGTTTTGACCCAGCAATTCTCATTTATTCCTGCTGTCCGTATGGATTTTTTTACATTTGCACAAAAGCCATTAGATTGACAAAATTATTAGTTCAGCCTTCTAACTGGTAACAAATAAATTAGCAATGCCTTGAATATCTGTTAAATAAATTATAGCATATTTTATATAGGATTCATTAAAAGTAGTAATTTTATGCACTAACTTGACATATCTCAAAGAAAATGATTCAGAAGAATATATGGTATTATTTTAATTGTTTACAGAAAAATAAGACAGTTTTATTTTTTGTTTGTTTTTTAAAATTTTATTGTAAAGGTGATTTACAGAGATGGGTTACAGTTACATAAGTTAGGTAATGAGTACATTCTTTTTGAATGTTGTTACCCTCTCTTGAGAAGATAGGTTTTTTTAAGCCAGTAATAATTGTATTTATTTAAATTTTTGTCTGTTTATGGCTTTGTGAGATTATTTTTTTATTGTGAAAATACTGTACAGAGGGGTTACAATTACATGCCAAGATAACGATTACATTTCTTCTCAAGCATTGTTGCCTCCTCCTTTGTTTCCCCTTCCCATCCCTTCCCATACCTTCCTCCCCCCATCCTCTCCCCCCACCAAAGTTGTCAAGTTTGTTTTTCAACATAACGACTTGTACATTTGAGAAGATAGTTTTACATGTACATTATGTGTTGTATATTTAAAGAATAAGTGTATTAGAAACTAATAACAAAGATTGACCTTCTGAGTGTTAAGTAGAAGCTGGGATTAGAAGGAGACTTCCTTCTCTCTGTTCGGTATTCTTTGAATTGTTGTATGTATATTTCACCTCTTTTTTTTTTAACCTCAAATATAGTAAGTTGGTGGCTTATCTTTTCCAATATTTAATATCTTACCACCTTCTGAAAACTTACTTAAAATAGCCTTCTAATAATAGCCACTAAAGTTGTTTTATACGCATAATTCAAACTAACATAAATGGTAGAACTTTTCTACCTCAGAAAAGGTAGCAATCAGCTTTTTACAGATACAATTTTCATATTTCTGTACCAACTCTCTGCCTCTGAAATAGGCTATTGGTGTGTTGTTAAAACCATAATAGTGCCAGGCACTGGTGGCTCACACCTGTAATGCTAGCTACTCAGGAGGCTGAGCTCTGAGGATCACAGTTCAAAGCCAGCCCGGGCAGGAAAGCCTGTGAAACTCTTATCTCCAATTAACCACCAGAAAACTGGAAGTGGTGCTGTGGCTCAAGTGGTAGAGCACTTGCCTTGAGCTGAAGAGCTAAGGGACAGCGCCCAGGCCCAGAGTTCAAGCCTCATGACCAAAAAAAATAATAATAATAGTACTATGTATGGTGGCACATGCCTATAAGCCTATAACCCAGCACTTGGCAGGCTTACAATGAAAAAACAAAAAACACAAAATGTTTTGGAAAATACTTAAATCCCTCTTTCCACTAATTGAAAGATAAGAATGTATAACATTTAGACATTGTCAAGAAAAATATTCTATGGCTAAAATAAGAAAATATTGATAAAGTGTTTTACAGATTGCAGTTTATGAAGCTAGGTATGTAAAATTTAAGTGAATACTTTTCACATTCCTTGTTAAAAAGAAGTAATGCAAAAGATGTTATTTTAATTTTTTTTCTTTTTAGATGGAAATTCCTTCTTCAAGTATCATTAATCAGTATATTGCTTGTCAAGGTCCATTACCACATACTTGTACAGATTTTTGGCAAATGACATGGGAACAGGGCTCCTCCATGGTTGTAATGTTGACCACACAAGTTGAACGTGGCAGAGTAAGTCATAGTTGAATCTCATACGTTGCTTGAGCTTTTTTAAAAATTACACTGCAAGCTGGCCTCACACCTATAATCCTAGTTACTCAGAAGGCTAAGATCTGAGGATCATGGTTCAAAGTCAGCCTGGGTAGAAAAGTCTCCATGAGACTCTTATCTTCAATAAACTAGCCCAAAAAAGCTAGAAGTGGTGCTGAGGCTCAAGTGGTAGTGTGCTAGCCTTGAGCACAGAGGCTCAGGGACAGTGCCCAGGCCCTGAGTTCAAGCCCCAGAACTGACAAGATAAATATATAAATATTACATTGCAGATAAACTTACAAACAAGACAAAAAGTAAACAAAAGCAACAAAAATACAAAAAAAGACATTGCATATTTAATTAAAATATACTAATTTTATCTTTTGAAACCTTTAATTTTCTTTTTTGTGGTTTTTATGATTAAATCTTCATAGCTAAATACCCAAAAGTTACATTTATTAACATGTTAAATGAGTGTTAGCCATTATTATTATTTAAAAACATTTACATATATAGGATGCACCTGGACTATATAAAGAACTCAAATAATTTAACAATAAAATGACAAGCTAGTTTAAAAACTGAGCAAAGAGCCAGGCGCCAGTGGCTTATGCCTGTAATCCTAGCTACTCAGGAGGCTGAGATCTGAGGATTGCTGTTCAAAGCCAGCCAGGGCAGGAAAGTCTGTGAGACTCTTATCTCCAATAAACCACCAGAAAACCAGAAGTGGCGCTGTAGCTCAAGTGGTAGAGCGCTAGCCTTGAGCTGACGAGCTGAGGGACAGCGCCCAGACCCAGAGTTCAAGCCCCACGACTGACCAAAAAAAAAAAGAAAAACACCACTAGAAAACCCTAAGT